AGATCCCTGGGAGGATCTAGAAAGTAGAACCTTCCTGTGGGTTTAGGGTGTTGGATTTAGGGCTTAATTAGAGATTAAGGCTTAGGGTTTAGGGTTTAGGGTCTAGAAAATAGAACCCCCATTATGGTACCTGATGCTACTGTTGGGTAATTTCTAGGAACCCTTAAGGGGGATGACATTTCTAGATCCGCCCAGAGGTCTGGGATGGAAGTTGCTCAACTTGCTGTTTCTCGAATGGGAAAGGGTTTAGGGTTTTGTAGGGACATGCAGTTCATATGGAAACTCCATGCGGGAGCCATAATCCCTTCCGGAAATCCACCAAACCCTGGGAACCTAAACCCCTGGAACACATTAAGCCCTCGAAGCCCCCTACACCCTATGAACCGTGAAAACCAAATACCAAAACAGCGCAGTCCCAACATGAACAAGAATCTGCAACCCGGCACCTGTGGGCAGCACCACACGGTGAAAGAGATCTTGCTCTTTTTGCCTCACTTGTGCACTCACTATGTATCCATGCATAGAATGGCTCGTTGTTGCAGAAACTTTGCAGAGGGAAGAGTTCAGAGTGTCTGCTTCTGCAAACAGCAAGTTGCCTGAAGAGCCACACTTATCTTATCGCCTGCTTAGTCACTTCGTAACCCTACTTTTCTGGTAGGTACTGCGAGACACTAATGCTATCCAGAATAGTACTTGGTTGGGGACTATAGGATGTCTCGCAGCTTGAGATTTCCCTACCTTGGCCCATCTATCATGGGTTTGGGGTTTCAGGGAAGCTGTTACTGGCTTACAACCGTCAACTCAAGTAATAGGGGCTATATTTGAGCCATAGGCTCAGCTCTTAGTATCCCCCTTTGTCATCCCTATAATCACCCCTTATATAACCCCCAATATTACCCCCCTGTATGGAATGTAGACTGCAGCCCATATGGAGTATAAGGTTATTAGTGGGGGGTACATGAAAGGACGTGTTGACGTAGCAGCGTCGTGTTGAGGATCGCATTATGAATTGCGGTACTACCCCCACCCAGTAACAGTCTATACTAGGGGTCATCTAAAGGACGTTATACCTAAAAATATGTACCTATATATACATAGAGAGAATTAGAATACAGATATTCTCCAACTGCTATGGGGGCAGTACCCAACCAAGAATCGTTTCTTGACAGCACCTTGCGATGGAGGAGTGGAGCACCCTCTGAGCCTCATCTATAGTAGGAACCCAAAGCGTCCGCCCTGAACTTAAGCCCCCAGAACCCTGAAGCCCACCCCATGCTCCCACCCCCTAGGTTGGTCCGTCATCTCAGGACAGTTTCTCAAAGTAGGGTCCCTTTTTCAACTCCCCCACGGGCTAAGTGCAAAGTAAAATTGTACCCAGACATCCCTAATTAAGGTGGAGATGGTTCAAAAATCTACCCTATACTGAAACCTAATCAGGAGTTTCAAGTAGAATCCATAATATCTGCCAAAACTGATACAAAGAACCCTGGACCCACCCCTAAACCCTGAACCCTGAACCCTAAACACAAAAAAGGCAAGGCGAGGCGCCGTAATCCACGGACAGGCGCTCGAGCATGAGGCAGCCGAGGCCCGATCCGGTTCCGCCTTTGTTAGGCGTGATTATGGCTTGGGGGGTGAGGGTTTAAGGGTTTGGGGTGCAGGGTCTTGAATTTTTTGGCATGTAGGGTTTAGAAGTCAGGGTTTAGGGGTTTAGGGTTTAGAGGTTTGAGGGTAAGGGTTTAGGGTTTAGGGGCTTAAGGGTCCAGGGTTTAGGGGCTTAGGGTTGCTGTTAAGGAACTTAAATCAAGGTATATACCAGAATATGGGTATATGGGTTTTAGGGTTTAGGGCTTAATGTTACTATATTACAGGTACAAAACTTTAAAAAAAATGCTGAGTATAGTTACTTAATATATTAGGGGGAGGAGATTATATTCTCCGCGCATGAGGAGAGCTCCATGAGCATTGCTAGGCCTTCAGCTGCCAAACCATTCAAGAAAGCCCAGGTGACGAGCAACATACCCTTTGTTGCTTCGGGCTTTGGGTTTAGGGTTAATTATGGTCCCCCTTAAGTAGATAGAATACGGCTTTGGGTATATAATAAGGAGACCCCCATATACCCCAAATTCTATCTACTTAAGGGGGACTATAAGTGGTTCACTGCCATTATTCTGTGTATCTGGGCGGGCATCTCCTAAATCATGAACCTTCAACCCCAAACTCTAAGCCACCCTAAACCCGAACCCTGAACCCTAAATCTTAACCCCTGAATCCTAATCCCTGCTTGAAAGCTCGAACTTAGTGTGGAGGTTATAGAGGGTGTTTTAAGCAGGCCAACCCCCATTAAGGGAGGACCTGTAAGCCCGTTTAAAGTTTAAAGCTTACTTACCAGATCCCCTGAGCCTTCAACAATCTAGACCCTACATCCTAAACCCTAAATCCTCAAGCCTACATCCAAAATCTCAACATCTAAACCCAAAGTCCTGAATCCGAAGCCCCGAATCCTAAACTCTAAACCCTACACCCTGATCCCTAAACCCTAAACCCTAAATGGTAGTTTCCATTTTCTTGTCCATTATCCCTAGATAACCCCTATATAAACCCTTTTTGATAATGTGGTAGGTTCCATTCTCTTTTCCATTATCCCTGTTTAATACTCCCAGTATAACCCTTGTATAATCCCCAATAGTTTCCATTTTCTTTTCCATTTTACCCATCAGCCCCAAACCCTGATCCTGCCTCCGCAGGCATTGTACACACAGAAGCCTTGGAGTCCGGTACCTCAGAGGAGGGGCTGCCAAAGAGGCTCACCCTAAAACAGGGGTTTAGGGTTTTAGGGGTTTTTAGGGTTTGGGGGTTTAGGGGTTTAGGGCTTTAGGGTTCAGGACTTAAGGCTTAGGATTCGAGATTCTGTGATTGGAGCGCTCAAAAACAAGGGTTGCATGCGAATGAGATTCGGATGAGAATATGATCAAACACTTGTGCAGGCTCGAGGTGTAAGGGCTACTTGTAACCCGAAGCACCTACAGTTTTGTGAGTTATTCGGGTTAGAGGTTCCCCGAACCCTAAACCCTACGTAAAGGTTAGGTCGAAGGGTTACGGTTTCCCTGTAAAATCAGGCAGGTTCACGGTTATGGGCGGGCCCTGACGATAAAAGTTCACATGCCAGACATCATTAGGCACAGTACCATGCAAGAATCCTGAAGCGAAGTGATCAAAGTCCAAAATCCTCCCTAATCTCCAGCCACATTTGCTGTAGCTCATATCGGGGTATCGTTTCCGGGTCACACATTTATGTAGCGGCGTGGGTGGACCCCCAAATGCCAAACTCTACACCCTGAACCTCAGAACACTAAAGCACTAAAACCCCAACCGCCAAACACCGAAACCTGAAACCCTAAGCACCGAAGCCCCTTCTGGCTTGAGGCTTTATTCAAAGCCACCCGGGAGCTCCGGACGATAGTTCTTGCTAATCTTACTATACTTACTATTTGCATTATTCTTACGATTATTACTCTATTGCCACAATTATTACCGTTATTACCAGTGTTACCAGCTTGCAAGCCGAAAGGCAGTTATCCGCAAGCTTGCGGATTCGATCCAGAACCTTGTAGGACGCTTTGGGGCTTAGGGAGTTTAGGGCTTAGGGTTTAGGGGTTGGGGTTCAGAGTTTGGGGCTCAGGATTTAGGGACTTTAGGGGTTAGGGTCACGAGTTTAGGGTTTTCGGGGGTTTGGGCTTTTAGGTTTCAAACCATGCGGTGCTTCGAGCATTGGTATAAGCGGCCTACACAATCAAAATAGAATGGTAGCATCGTACATAAATAACTGCTGTGAAAGGAGACCTGCCTGTTTGAGGAAGGCGTTTGGAGACCTACGGATGGAAGTTTGCACTGCTAATCTCCAAGTTCTGGGCATCGTTTGTCAAGGCTTCACGGCGTTGGGGTTTTATAACGATTTAGCGGGGCATTTGGG